ACTTCTGACCTCAGGTGATCCACCCACCTTGGCCTCCCAAAGTGATTGGATATCAGGCGTGAGCCATGGCGCACAGCCCCTTTCTTTTGTTAAGAGTAAATGGGCAGAACAGAATGTTGTTGGGTCTAGAAATTATACTCTATAATCATCAGTGGAATTGGAGAGAAGACCTAGGAAGAGACAGGCTAGCAGTCTTCAAATATCAGGCAATCATAGAGAGGAAGGACTGAATCAGCCCGGTTCTAGAGGGTGGAAGTGGGACTAGAAGGCAAACATTACAGAGAGGTGGTCTTCAGTTCAAGGCTAGACTACAACTGGACTGTTCTGTGACATAACATATACGCTTTTAGTAGAAGTACAGGATTTGAGCTTGGGCTGGCTGACTGACAGTGTTCCTATTGAGAAAATTACTGAATAGTCCTGGAGACTTGACTGCCTGATTTTCAAGGAATCTTCCAACTCTAAGAAGATAGTAGGAGACAATTAATTATCTACTGCTCTATTCAACATAGGGAATTTGCATATAATGGGGGCATCTTTCTAATATTTGCCTATTTGTTAAATATTGGTTTCCTGGATTCTTATATTTAATGCTATAGAGAACAGTTTTTAAGAAGAAAACCCCACACTAACTAAAGCATTTTGTAGACACTTTTTACTATGGTGGTAACCACAGATTCAGAATAAACAATTTGTTATAGTGAGTAGTATATCATCTGTTTTATGAAAAAACAGAAACAAAAGTTTTAAAAAATTAAAATAAAGGTTCCTAAAAAGTTATAGACTTTAACAAAGACAAGTGTTAAGGATTCTTTAGAATAATAGTTTTTAATATGGAGAAAACTTTGTCTTGGTATCTAAGAATAGCACACTAGATGGTGCTATAAGGCTGTCAGAAAGAGAGTTTTACCAGGCTAGTGTGGCATTCTGATGGTAGTTAAGTGTTCTGGAAACTTTCCACATACTTTCAGCTCCTGAGAGCCACTCCAGGTTTATATAAAAGTAATGGGAATCACAATTGGACAAGCTTTAGCCCTAAGATGACATTAACTTAAAACTAAACCACAGGCTTAACACATTTAACATAGTTTCACTATTTGATATTTCAATCTGATTCCACTGAAATAGAAATGTTAAAGTCATTAAAATGCCAATGTATTAATTTAAATGTATTGCTATTAGTTTCACTTAGCTAGTCTTCCCATGAGCCTAGTTATATCCACCACTTAATGAATCTTTAAGTCAGTTTCAAGTGGCTTCCTGAAATTTTGAATTATCATTAAGCTGAACATACAAATCACTCTTTCATTTAGTATTGTGAATATATTAACACAAATACATGAAACATTATATTTGGAAATCACTCTATCAGTATATTATTTCTTATAAAAATAACATTTCATGATTTTTCCACATTACAATAAAAGCAGAAAAATTTTACTAAAGTGCAAAACAAAAATAAAGCTTTACTTTTATAATATTTCCATTTCACTTTCTTTTAAAAAGGTCAACAACAACAAAATGAATGGATAAAGATATAGCTTTTGCAACCTAAGACTCATTTGAGTTTTAAATTTTCAAAGACCTGAGATTTATTTGTGATTTTTTTTCCTCCTTATCTTTCCAGTTCTGCTTCTAGAATTTCCCCCCATGTATCTGCATCCATTGGGTACATGGTTTTTTCTGGTAGGCTAATGGGAGAACAAATGTTGCTGTATCTGCCACTTAGCCATTCGTGTTTCACTTTACTCTTCTGGTAATTCCTCAGCAGTATTACCTGAAAGAGGTAAATCACCATTAAAAAAGACTGTAGTAGGTGGTTGGTTAGTGAATGTGTTTAAAGCAAGAGAAACAGATTGACAGGGCTGAAAAAAAGAGTAAGTATTTACATTGATATACACATATTTTAATAAATTTATGTGTCTGTGTACGTGTGTGTATGTATATGTGTATTTATACAGAGTGCGCCATACAGTTTACTGGGGGTTTGGGATAAGGTGAAGTGAAAAGAAGGAGCTAATTCCCTTCTGGTTAATAGGGGAAAATTCCCTAATTTAGAATTTAAAAAATGCAAAAGGATAAATGAAAGATAGTGTGGAAAGAGTGTGGTTAGCAGGAAAAGGCTCAACTCATTTCCAAAAGTCAACACACTGTCTATGTTATTCTGCATATGCAATTCTGTCTCCTCCAAGCATAAGTTAGAACTGACTCAAACCTGCTATCAAAACACCGTCAACAACACTGCAGATCGCAAAGATTAAACTTACCCTCCAGGAATAACCACTTTCTAGATCATCATCTATTTCTCTTCGGCACACAGCTCTTACAGTCATGCAGTGAGGTTTCCATAAAGAGTCACTGTTTCTTATGGTGTAATTCCAGCTCCTGCATGTCAATGAAGCCCTGCATAAACTCCGAATGTCCAGCTGACTGAAAATTTTAAAAGTGAGTTCTTGAGGCAGCAGTTCAACAAAGTTGTTTTCACTCTCATTTTTTTCCTTCTCAGCATCCACAGAGTTCACTTCTGTGTGAGAAACTCTTGAATTACTGTTTCTCTTGGAGTTTTTATGCATAGCTTAATGTTTTAGTAAATTATCCTCATATGTAACCTAAAAGGCAAGATTTAAACATGCTCAGTCTCCAAATAGGAGTAGAAATCCTACTTTGAGTCAGATGCTGTTTGGGTATAATTTAAGAACTCTTTCTTGACTTTTGCTTCTCAGTCTGTAAAATGGACCAATGCTGCCCCTTTCCTGAAAGTTCTTGCAAGGATTAACAGCGATAGTGTGTAAAACACCTAGTCTTCCTACATCTGAAATGCACCTGGGAGGCACCTCAACATATTAGCTTCACTCTTTCCCAGGCTGGAGTGCAGCTGTGTCATCATAGCTCACTGCAGCCTCAACTTCCAGCCTCAAGCGATTCTCTTGACTCAGCATCCCCTCATTTTTTTTTAAACAAACAAACAAACAAACACAAAACCAAAAACTGTTTTTTGGAGAAATGGTTTTTGCTATGTTGCCCAGGCTGGTCTCGAACTCTTGTCCTCAACCAATCCTTCTGCCTCAGCCTCCCAGAGTGCTAGGATGACAGGTAGGAGCCACCACACCCGGTACTTTCATACCTTTGAAAATATGTATGAGTCAATCCTATTAAACTCCCGAATACTTGTTGTATATAGGAACTGATGCCTCATCATTAATTTGCAATTTGTGACTTAATCACAAACTAGATGGACTTCTAGTTGTATAAGAATTTTATTACTTGTATCTAATGGGTAGGTAGGTGCTTACATTTGACACAAATACTATCTGAAATGGACAAGAAGATGAGATCTGGATTATGAAACAAAGTCTTAAATATTCAACTCAGTCATAAGAGTGGTGTTTTAAGAAATGGCCCCTTGAAGCTATCCTATATGCATAGTTAATTATGAGCTAAGGGTAACAGTCACTGAAGACATCAAGCAACAGTGAGTAACAACTATAAACAATGTTGAGAACTCAGCTAGGTATAGTATGTGACTATTTGAAGCCCAGATATAAAGCTCAGTTTCAGCTAATTTACCTAAGGTGAATGGTGTAGGCTTCCCAAATCAGTTGAAAGCATGACTGGGTACATCACCACCCTTGAGTTACTTTTGTATATAAAGACAGCTGGTATTCACTTAAAATCAGTTTATTCCATTTTGCACTTCCTTTTATAATGGGGGTTGGATGTGCAAGAGGAGGGGTTTGAGATACAGCTAAATACTTCTTTTAACTCAGCTGAACACAAATCTCTTTTCTAGACGAGCTACTCAGCTATGTTTCTGGACTTCACAAGACCACGGTGGTTCCCATTCATGATCCAGATTAGCTGTGGTGGCTGGAACTGTAGTCTGTGTTCAACAGAGGTCTTCCTCTTGAGGGTTTGGGGAAGTAAGAAAGCAAACTGGTAAAAACGAGTGAGTCAAGAGCAAGTTTTTGCCATGCACCTTGGCCCCTCCCACCACCAATACAAACCAAAGCCAAACCACAAGGTTCTTAAAAAGAATCTCACATTAGGAAAACGTTACAGTGTATTTAAACGTTACGGTGTGTTTATCCACTTCTCCCAGGATCTTACTGGGAGAATAAAATGCCTCCCCTTGTGGAATTCCTGCAACGGGAATGAAGGTTTTTGAATTTCACAGCAGGGGATGCCTTGGCGAGGTTCTAAAATCCCACTAGGAATCTTTCTTCTACGTCCAGGTTCGCCTGGATGCCTGGAAACGACCCCTCTTCTGCCCTTTCTCCTTTATGAATCGAGCTTTGCTGAATTCTCTCTCAAGTGAGGTAAAAGCTCGTCTCCCTTTCAACTATCACTTGGAGGGATAGATTGGCGGCAGCGCAGAAGGAGGGGCGGGGAGCCCCACTCCGCCCACATCCCGCGGGTCAGGGCTAATCACTCCACGTCCCATCTGAGCCACCCTCCTTGTGTCCTGCGCGGGTTGCAGCTGCTGGAAGCCAAGAACACGGAGCACTGACAAGTGACAACAACAACCGTCAGCGCTGTCACTGCGGCTCCAGGCCGCGGAGGGAAGGCTGAGCTTGCGTCAGGGCCGCGTCCCCGGGAGCGTAGACATCTAAGCCAACGGGAATGGAAGATCCTCCTACCTACTGGGCCGCGATGGCTTCTCCTCCCGCGATTTAAATCCTCCGGAATTCGAATCTTTCCCCATAGCTCTTCTCTTCCCGCCCACCTAAGCCCCACCCTGCTGACTCGGAACTCGCGCAGGCGCCGAGAGGGGCGCGCAGTGCCTTTGGGGATTGGTAGTTTTTTCCAGGGCGTCTTAGCTCGGGAAAGGAAGTGAAGAAAGGCGCCAGGACTACAAGGCCCGGCGTCCTCCAAGAAGGGAGGGAGGTGAAAAGTGTGGTGGGGAATAAGCCGGGGTTTTTAAACAATAATTTTGAGGCGGCGTGACTGGGGAATCCCCGATTGCGTCATCAGTAGGCGTGGAGGGACGGGACTCGGGAAACTGCGCTGGGGCTGTGCTCTGACAGGACCGGCGCAGGCGCGGGGAGCCTTTGTGGCCCTCCCCCGCTGTTTTTCCCAAGTCCTGGGCTTTCCCCGCGGAAACAGCGGAGGGGCCAGTTTCCTGGCGAAGGGGCCTAATCCTTGCCCGCCATGCCCGGGGGCTTCGAGCTGCAGCCGCGGGACGGCGGTCCCCGGGTGGCCCTGGCGCCTGGGGAGACTGTGATCGGCCGCGGGCCGCTGCTGGGAGTAAGTGTGGGCGGGGGCTCGGCGGACCCCGAGAGCCGTGGAGGTCCGCTCCGGCTCCTGAAGACCGGCCCTAGTCCTAGCCCTATTCCCCACCGCGCTGGTCCGCCGGTCTGGATTTTATAAATTTGGGGCCGCAAGTTTTTCAGTTACCTTTAAGCAATTCACAAACATTTCTTTATGTTGCTTTAAAAACACTGACTGTATTACCATTATTATTTTTTCCGGGGGTTGGCAAACTAGAGTCTGGGGGCCAAATCCAGCCTATGTTTGTATGGCCCCGTGAACTAAGAATGATTCTTAAATTCTAAAATGTAAAATGTAAACAAAAAACCTACCAATTTTTCCGGGAGAATATTGCTGCAAGGGTTCAGGGTATTGTGGCTTGTCCTGTAAAGCCTAAAATATTTACGGTAGCCTCTGGCCCTTTACAGAAAAGTTTGCCAAACCGTGATATTATGTCTTCTAGGCTAATTTAAGCTTTGGTCTCCTTTGCAGAGCTGTGTGGACCTTGTTTATTTATTTGTATTATTTATTATTTCCAGTAAAATGAGTAGATAATCCTTAATAAGGAATGTGTATAGCGTTCGAGTCATTGGTCTAAGGAGACATTATCTATACCAACGTCTTTAACTGTCAGGTATTTTTATTATCCTCATTGTTCAGATGAGAAAATTGAGCCATACGTACGTTATTTAAAGTCCATGCATAAGCTTTTGGACACAATGCCACAAAACTAAATATTCTCTACCTTCTTTGGGAGGTTTAGGAATGAGAACATTTGCATATTGCATTCCAGAATTCTATAGAGCTCTTCTTAAGTACATCTAGTTTTTAATTTTTTTCTTTAACATTCAACATTTCTTTTTAGTGCTCACTGTGTAGAACATTTTGCAGATTCTAGCACTGTGGGGCATACAAAGATCAATGGAACATGGGTCCCTGCCCTCTAGGAGTTTTCTCCTGGGACTGGGAGACACCTGTGTCAGTGAGCTAACACCAAAGAGTAAGGAGTGTTTACTGTTATCCTGGTTGACTTCCAGAGTCTAAATGGAACCATTGGTACTTGCCTTAGGTCCCTTCTGGGAGCAGGGAAAGGAGTGGTAGTTTAAGATTGTGTTATGGAAATTGGTCCTAAAGGCGTGTGTGTGTGTGTGTGTTGTGTGTTGTGTACATACACATGTGCATGTAGTACGGTTATTGAGAAAGTAGATATTCAATTGCTGTTCTTTTTTTTTAACTGGACAAGTGATTATTTAAATGTTTAACATCATTTCAATTTTTTTTTCGTCGTTTATTAGCCTTACAAACACTGGAAGGAACTGTCTGGAGGCTTTATTTTTCTGTTTTTCTTTTAAATTCGTAGGTTAGAAACTTAGAGTATGTGTTTCATCTAGTAATCATGTGTCTGGTGACTAATGAGTTTTGACTTGCTTAAGACGTTGTCACCAGTAGAGTACCTGGGTCTGGTTAAAAGATGGATGAATTTTAGGGCCGTGTTGTAGAAACTTGGCAACAGATTGCATATCCTTTCATTATTTGTAGCTTGTTCTTTGTGTTGTCGACTTGCTAATGTGAGATGAGCCTATTTGGTATCTGTTTTTTAAAATGATAGGGAGTGAAAGCTGGGCAATTATCTGGTCAAGATCTTGCTTTTCCTTTTAAAATAACATTCAGGGATGAGATTCTGTTGCCAAGGTTGGCAGGTATCAGAAGTGCTTATGAATGACATCCTAAGTGTGTTAAAGGAAAAATTTGGAGAACAAACAAATCACCTTGTAGTTTTTTCGATTTTGGAGCTGACAGATGAACTGGATTCTTCTCCGCAGTGGTTAAAACACAACATAAGGGCTCCTGTTTCCAACAACAGGAATTCCAGTGAGACTTATTTTTGTTTTGTGAGAGAGCGAAGACTGAGTTCTAAGTGGAAAACTCAGTAAGTTCATTGTAAATTGGTATACATCGGAAATGATTAATATAAATAAGGATGATTTTGAACTTTCTTAATTGGGCATGTTTTTCTGAGACAAGCTTCACAAACCTTGATGGCCACACAAACATAAAAGTTTATAATCCCACTGTGTAAAATAGTCTTGGTAGTAAAACAGTTTGACAATGAGAATATTTTTATATTTTTACGGTGGTAGGAAAACACAGAGAAACCTGTCACAAACAAAGGACAATGAAATTTAATCTTTCTTGTGCCCTTTGCTTTCACGTGAGTCATCAGAGAACCCCAGCTCTTTGTTTACTAGATTTTGATTCTGCTCCATGATTGGCATCAGTTAGATGGTTTTACAGCAGGATTTATCTTCAGAGAACTTAAGTTAAAACAGCCAATCCAAAAGATTACATATTGTGTGATTCTATTTATATAACATTATTGAAATTGCAGATTGCAAAATTTCAAAAATGGAGAACAGATTAGTGGTTGCCAAAGGTTAAAAAATTAGGCAGGAGGGCAGATGGGAATGGATATGGCTATAAAATAGCAACATGAGGGATATTTGTGATGACAGAAATGTGCTTTGTCTGGACTGTGTCAGTATCAATATCTTAGGTTGATGTATTGTACTGTAGTTTTGTAAGATGTTACCATTGGGGGAAACTGGATAAATGGTACAAGAGATATTTCTATATTATATCTTTCAACTACATGTGAATCTACCATTATCTTAAGAAAATTTTATTTTAAAGGGTTTTATAGAACAACATGTCAAGCACTGTTAGGCCAAAGTATTTGCTTTATGATTTTTAATTCAAGCTGTTACACTCTTAAATGAAATCTACTATTTTTGATTTCAGATTTTTCTTCTTTTGTTTTGACAGCAGGGATTATATGACACATTTCCTTATGATCGATTTCACTTCTAGGGATATCTAGTGAGACTTTCTCAATGTAGATGTAATTAAATTGACTGCTTTGATTAAAAAGAGAAGAGTCCCCAGTTGGGGGAACAGGGAAGGTCATTGGCTTCAGTATAGACTCTTCAGGTGGCATCAGTTCACCACTTCTAAGAATGTTGTAAATGTTCTACAAAGTAACTATACAAAGTAACTATCCCCTGACCTGGCAGCTCTGTACTTGAACTGCTTATTGCAGAATCCTCCTGACTGTCTTGGAATGCTGTTCCTACTTGCTCCAACGTAGGTTTCTTCCTTAACACTTCCTTTATTTCTAGATTTGCCCTTCCCTCATTTTATTATTTAGCCTACAACCAGTACCTAGCACATAGTAGGCCTTCAACACATGATTTCTTCTTCCTTCCATTTCTGCATCTCAGCCTCTCATTCACTCTACCCTCAAAAAGAGCCTATTTGTGACTTAGATATGAAAAAGGGTTATCATTGAGTTTTGAAGTGAATTTAAATATAGTAAAGATGCAGTCCTACCAACTGCTAGATCTTAAGGAGTAACATTCACAATGAATTAAGTTTTAACATTTTTCCTATTTTGTTGATGGATAATTCGCTAAATTCAGGAAATAGTTGATAAATAAGTACTATGGTTGGATGGGAGGGAGTATAGGAGAAATAAAGATGAATGAGAAACAACTCCTTGCTCTCAAGAAACTTACAGTTTTGTAGGTTTGAGAGACAAATAAACAAGTATTAATAACTAAACAAGGTTACAGCCTCACACGGGGACTGGAGCCAGGCTGACACTTGGAGTGAGCGAAGTAAGAGGGAAGAAGAAACAACATAGGGACAGTGATAAATGACAACAGTTCTGTCTCAGTGTTGGGAAGGCTACAAGGAGAGGGTCTCTGTGCAATCCCTGCTACTTTCCCTTATTCCCACTTGATAACAGTGTCATACTGTTTTTTTTAAGAATAGTAAGAAATTTGAATTTTTAGATATAATCCTTGATTTTTAAAAGGTCACATTTTATTAAAAGTTTTGTTTAAATACTATGAGTCTGTTGATGAAGAGTTAAATTCTATAAAATATTTCCAGAGATTTATTCTGAGCCAAATATGAGTGACCATGGCCCATGACACAGCCCTCAGGAGGTCCTGAGAACATGTTCCCAAGGTGGTCAGGGTACAGCTTGGTTTTTATATATTTTAGGGAGGCATGAGACATCAATCAAATACATTTAAGAAATACATTGGTTTGGTTCAGAAAGGCGGGCCAACCCAAGCAGGGGCTTCCAGGCTATAGGTAAATTTAAACATTTTCTGGTTGACAATTAGTTGAGTTTATCTGAAGACCTGAGATCAAAGGAAATGTGCAGGTTAAGATAAAGGCTTATGGAGACCAAGTTTTATTGTGCAGAGCTCTCAGATCGCAGACTTTAGAGATAGCAGGTTGCAAAATGTTTCTTATCAGACAGGAAAGGGTTCCTGGCTCTTAATTGATTATCTCCTGGATCTGGAAAGGAAGGAAGGGAAACAAGGGGAAAAAGGGATTCCCTGTAGAATGTGGATTTTTCCCACAAGAGACTTTGCAGGGCAATTCCAAGGTATGGCAAAGAAATATATTTTAGGGTAAAACATTTTGATTTTCTTCCTTGTTATGCCTGTGTCAGACTGGAAAGTAAGTCACGTTATACAGGGTTAAATAAAACTCATCTGATGATAATCTATAGTTTGTAGGGCATGACTTCCCAGACCCCTTAGAAAGGAATTTAGGCAAGATTTAAAAAAAAAAAAATCAGAGCTTAGTCCTCAAGCTAGACAGAATGATGTCACAGGGTACAGAGAAGTATAAGAAGGAACCTGAAGTTAAGAGGTGGGATCAGGGAAAGAAAGCTTCATGAACTTGGTTGCATGTTGAGTTTGACTGTGGTGTGTTGGGACAGTTAGAATTTTGGTAGGTGAAGAGTGGGTGGGGTAAGGAAGGGCTTGTGTGGTTTAAGGCTCTAAGATATGGCGTGTTGGATAATTGGGTAAGTGTTGACCAGGCTTGTGGGATGATCACATTACGTCAATGATCTCGTTTAACTTTTACAAACATTGTTTTTTAATATATTAGTTTTTAAAGTAGACTTTATTTTATGG